AAATTAAGCGCAGCCGTATATCAGTCACCGGAGTAGCGGTGGTGGTGATGGAGGTGGGGTGGGGTGGGTTAATTATATTATATTACAGTTAAATATTTAATTTAATATAATAATTGTGAAATATAATTAATTAATTCATGAAAAATCTGAATTCTAAACTTTAGGGCTTGATTTTTTATTTTGGGATAGATAAAATCTGAGTTGTCAATTTTTTCCATCTTTAAATGCATTACTCTCTATTGGGCTCCACCCCTAACAACAACAGTAGCTTATCTTTCGGGAAAAATTCACAACTCAGGCTTTAACTATCCCAAAATAAAAAATCAGGCCCCAAGGTTTAGAATTGCAAAAATCAGATTTTTTATGAATTAATTAATTATATTTCACAATTACTATATTAAATTAAATATTTAACTGTAATATAATATAATTAACCCACCCCCACCTTACCTCCATCTCCACCACCCCCACTGCTCCGGCGACTGCTCCGGTGACCGACTACTGTTCTCCGGCCACACTTAATTCCGGCGATCGTTTCACCGTCGCTTAATTTTGGTAACTGCTCCGATTTCGAGGTCACAGATGTCTTATTAAGTAGTTAAAATTTTTATTTTCAGTCATAACTTATTAAATTAATTGGTCACAGATTATTTCGAGGTCACAGATCAAAAAATTGAGTAATTCACAATTGACTTCATTGATCACTGATAAAAAAATTACAGGTCACAGATTTTTAATTGGTCACAACTTAAAAAAATTATTCTATATTTGTTGGTCACATGTTATATTTTCAGTCACATATTAACGAATTTTAAGGTCACAATCCCAATCTCAGTATACCACCAATACTTGGTCACAGGNATTTTTAATTGGTCACAACTTAAAAAAATTATTTCATATTTGTTGGTCACAGGTTATATTTTCAGTCAAATATTAACGAATTTTAAGGTTATAGTCCCAATCTCAGTACACCACCAATACTTGATCACAGGTCACAGATCAACCAAATGGTTGGTCACGGACACTTCATCCCATCAGCCGAACCCATCGTCCAATCCCAATATACCACCAATACTTGGGCACAGGTCACAAATCGACCAAATACACATCATCTTATACCTGCCGCCACCACCACAGTCACAACCACTCTCCAACAATAACACCAACAACAACTGCCATCGTCGCCCCCTGTACAACACCACCAATATCGTCGGCCCCAT